AATAAAAAAAGCGAAAAGCAAAGCGGCGCGGCGGCATGGGGGCGGGGCCTCGTTGGCATTCCGGCTGTGTACCTCTGGCTGTGCTTTCTTCCTCCCACTGCTCCCACCCCGCCGTCGGTCAGTCTCTCTTCCTCAGCGAACCCGTGATGCGTTCTTCGGAGTAGGAAATAAAGTCTTGTTTTTGACATCCTACTATCTACAATATTTATTAATTGGTGAAAATAGCGAAATGAAGCCTGGAGCTACAAAAGGTACGTCCGGCGACGATTTTTTGGCGGCAGTCCAGATATAACGATCAGCGGTTATAACGATCATATTTTTAGGTTTTCTCAATATCGTTATAAGTGGACTGCACTGTATCACGTAAGCTTCCGCTGTGAAGATACTTGTGCCTGGATGTAGAGGGCCAGCATCCGAAAAGGAAGGGCCAACAGCAGCGTAGGACACAGAGGAGTTAGACTTAGAGGCATCTGTAAAAAACTCAGGACGTGTGTATTTGTGTTGAAGTTCCAAGAAGTATGTTCGAATATGGGCAATAGGCGCATGTTTAGTAACTTCTAGGAAAGACACATCGCAATTTATAGTCTCCCACTGCCACGGTGGCGGGTATGCTACAGGAGCCATTAAACTGTGTTCGAGTGACACTCCAGTGTCCTCAGCTAGACCCTTCAGGCGAACTGAGAAGGGCTGCCTCATTGAAGGCCTGTTTTGAAAAAGAATGGAGCTCGACAAGTCATTAATAGTAGAGTATGAGGGGTGCCTCTTGTCTGCTTTCACCTTAAGGAAATATACAAAGGACATGTAGGTTCTTTGCAGATGAAGCGACCACTCATTTGACTCAACGTAAAGGCTTTCTACAGGGCTGGTGCAAAAAGCACCCGTAAAAAGGCGGATGCCCGAATGGTGCACGGGATCCAGCATCTTCAAAGCACTTTGAGTCGCAGACTGATAAACAATGGCCCCATAATCTAAGCGGGTGCGAATAAGGCTTCTATACAGGTTCATGAGGCATTTCCTGTCACTACCCCACGTAGTACGTGACAACACTTTTATAACATTCATGGCTTTTAAACATTTTGTTTTTAAATACTTTATGTGGGGTACGAAGGTCAACTTGTTGTCCAAGATTAAGCCTAAGAATTTATGCTCGGCTTTGACGGACAGTTGTTGCCCGTTCAATTGAATGTCGGGTTCCGAGTGCATGCCTCTCTTTCGAGAGAACAAGACACACATGCTTTTTTGTGAGTTAAGTCGAAATCCGTTTTGATCTGCCCATTTGGAGACCTTATTTAAACCCAGCTGAATTTGCCGCTCACACATGGCCAAGTTGCATGACTTGAAGCCAAGCTGAACGTCGTCGACATATGTACAATAGAACATATTGCGGGGAATGGACAAGTGCAAAGAATTCATTTTAATAATAAAAAGTGTGCAACTAAGCACACCACCTTGTGGCACGCCTGTTTCCTGGACAAATGTTTGGGAGAGCACACTGCCCAGACGGACACGGAATGTCCGGTTTGACAGGTAACTTTCGATTATATGAAACATTCTTCCGCGCACACCAAGGTGGGACAGGTCTCTTAGAATTCCGAAACGCCATGTTGTATCATAAGCCTTTTCGATATCGAGGAACACAGAGAGAAAATATTGTTTATGGACGAACGCGTCTCTGATCTGTGCCTCGATACGAACAAGGCGGTCTGTGGTGGATCTACTTTCTCGAAACCCGCACTGAAATGGGTCGAGCAAATTATTTCTTTCAAGAAAACGTACAAGTCGGCAGTTTATCATTTTTTCGAAGACTTTGCACAAGCAGCTTGTAAGTGCTATAGGCCTATAACTCGTGGGTAAAGAAGGGTCCTTGCCCTCTTTCAAAATGGGAATAACAATAGCCTTTTTCCAGGAGGTAGGAATAGTGCCAGAAGACCAAATAGCATTGTACAAACAAAGTAAGGTTTTTCGGGTTTCGTTTGGTAGGTTTTTTAACATTTCATACATCACACGGTCAGAACCTGGGGCAGAAGTACTGCAGGAGTTTAGAGATGTTTGGAGCTCAGCTAGATTGAAAGCTTGGTTATATGCCTCGTATCTAGTGGATTTGTGTTCGAGTTTCTGCTTTTCTATTCTTGTTCTGTATTTTTGGAAAGTGTCAGTATAGTGGGACGAGCTGGATACCTGTTCGAAGTGTGCACCGAGGAAGTTTGCCTGATCTTCCAAGGTATCACCCTGAGTGTTTACGAGTGGAAGTGTGTGTACTTGTTTTCCTGCTATCCTACCGACCATGTTCCAGACTTTAGCCTCCTGTGTGTATGAATTAACCCCTGATAAAAACTTCTGCCAGCTTTCTCCTCTGGCTTGCCGACGCGTTCTCCTGCCTTGAGACTTTATTTTCTTGAAGGTTTCAAGATTTTCGGCTGTCGGTGAGTTCCGAAGCAGCCTCCAAGCTCTGTTTTGCTGTTTGCGCGCGTTTCGGCATTCAGAGTTCCACCATGGCACACATCGTTTTCCAGGGTGTCCATTTGTTTGTGGGATGCATTTTGTTGCAGCATCAATCAAAAACGCTGTGAAGTAGTTCACAGCAACATCAATGTTCAAAGTACAGATGTCATTCGAACCTAGACAAGCGATAGTATGAAACTCTTCCCAGTCGGCTCTGTTTATGAGCCACTTGGGAACATGTGGTGGACACTCAGTTACTGTCGTTGTGCTCAAAACTACGGGGAAGTGGTCACTTCCGTACAGATTACCGACGACTTTCCACTGGAGTAGAGGCACAAGAGATGGAGATACTATGCTCAGGTCTATGGAGGAGTAGGTGTTATTAGCGAGGTTATAATAGGTTGGTTCTTTTCGATTTAGGAGACACGCGCTCGACGAGATAAGGAACTGTTCGATCAGTCGACCTCGCGCGTCATACCGAGAGTCACCCCATAGCCTGCTATGCGCATTAAAGTCTCCAAAGAGAACATAAGGCTCCGGAAGTTCATCAATTAGAGAGTGTAAATCGCGTTTTTGCAGCTGATAGCTAGGAGGAATGTAAATAGTGCAGATTGTGATCAGTTTATCAAAAATAACCGCTCGAACAGCCACTGCCTCAAGGGGTGTTTGGAGTTGTAAGTGTGTGCATGCTATTCCTTGATTCACTATGATGGCAACAGCTCCAGATGATGTCATAGCATCAACACGGTCTTTTCGGAAAATAACGTATTTACGAAGAAAATTTGTGTGTTTTAAATTAAGGTGTGTTTCTTGTACACACAGCACTTTTGGCGAGTGTTCATGTAAGAGTTCTTGGATGTCGTCAAGGTTTCTGAGAAGGCCCCTGACGTTCCATTGTATAATTTGAGTGTTCATGGTGAATGTGAAATAGTGCTGTGTGTACGAAAAGCGAGTGGCTGTTTAGACGGGGAGTTTGAGTTCACTTAACAGGGCCATCACCAGGCCTTGTTATTTGCTTTTTTGTTTTCTTGGCGTGCTCCAAGGAGCCACGCCGCTCTTTCGGCACCAAGGGTGCCGACGTATCCATTGCCTCCTCGGAGGCACTGGATGCCCGCACATGCGGGCTGTTAGTTCGGATTTTGGGCCTCGCCTGGTGAGGGGAGGCCTTGAGAACCGAAGACTCTGGAGTCTCCGGTCTCTGTTTGAGAGTAGGCGGCGTAGCCTGGGCTACAGCCGCCTTGGGGGCAGGTGCCACAACCGCCGGCTCGGTATGCGCGGGCCGGAGGGGTGGCGAGTGCTGGTGCGGCGGTGCCCCCTGACGCGCCGCATCAGCGTATGTAGGTCCATAGAATGGAGCGACTCTTCGCCGTGCTTCCTTAAATGTAATGTTCTCCTTCACCTTCAACGTAATTATTTCTTTTTCTTTTTTCCAGTATGTGCAGGAGCGTGAATATGCGGCATGGTTTCCTTCGCAGTTTACACAGTGTGGCGGTTGTTTGCAGTTCTCAGACACGTGGCCTAGGACTCCACATTGTGCACAAGTCTGGCGACCACGACAGGTTTCAGAGCCATGGCCATACCTCTGGCATTGGAAGCAACGACGAGGGTTTGGTATGTATGGCCTGATAGATGTCTTTGTGTACCCTGTTTGAATTGATTCCGGTAGTTTACTGGATGCAAATGTAAGTATTAAGTGTTTTGTCGGTGTTTCCTTATTATCTCTTCTGATGATGATTCTCTGTACATTAGTGACATTTTGGCTTTTCCACCCCTCCAAAAGTTCAGTCTCAGTCAAGTCAAGTAAGTCCATGTCAGATACCACTCCACGAGTTGTGTTCATTGATCTATGTGGTGTTACGGTTATTGGTATGCCACCGAAATCTGAGAGACGGTCTAGCTTTTTAAATTGTTCTTTGTCACGGATTTCGAGGAGAAGGTCTCCACTAGCCATTTTGGTTACCTTGTATCCTGTGCCAAGAGTTTCGGTAAGACATCTAGAAACTAGGAAAGGAGAGACGGTCCTGGCTTGCTTTTCAGTTTTTTCACAGTGAATGACGTGGAAATGGGGAAAAGTTTCTGTTGGCTGGTTGAAGAGATTTATGTCGTCGGTGCGTACCCGCTTTAGGCCGGTACGATCAGATAGTAGAGGGAATGCGCCATGCATGCCGGTCTTATTTTTGTTCAGCAGCGTTGGCAGCCACCCACCACGGAGCCCAACAAGGGGACGCTGCAAGTTTACAGGTGCTGAAAGCTTGCAGACGTAAGCCGTACAACACTGCCATAACCCAATGCGCCTAGACCAAGGTAGGCTATTAGCACAGGGTTAACCCTTGCCGCCAGGAAAATTGGAAGTAAACAGAAGAGGGTAGAAGACAGGACAGATAGATAGTGAGAGATAAAGACGAAGATGTAAGCAGAGAGAGATAGGAAAAGGCCACTGGCGATGGACGACGGGTGGCTGCCGCATAGTTAACAGATCGCTGGGCTGGTAGTGATTCGGGCTGCGAAAATGCTTGCCCGATTTCCTGCCGCACAATTTCTCCAACTGAAGCCATCACCCGTTCTTGCGGAGTCACAAGGAAGCTGCGGATTTCCTCACGAACAACCTCGCGAATAAGCTCACGCAGAGAACCGTCACAGCCGGCCGTCAGAGCAGAGACGCTGATTGAGGCACCGTTTGGTCGGTCGTAATAGCGACACCGTTGCTGCAGTGTGCGCTCGATAGCTGTAGCCTCTTTGACGAATTCCGCAACGGTCGTCGGTGGATTGCGGAGAAGGCCGGCAAAAACCTGTTCTTTGACGCCTCGCATCAAATGACGGAGTTTCTTGGCTTCAGGCATATCAGGGTCAGCCCGTCCAAATAGGCGCGTCATGTCCTCGGCAAACATGGCGACACTCTCATTCAGTTTCTGGACCCGAGACTCGATGAGTTACTGAGCAAAGTCACGGCGGTCGTTGTTTGCAAAGGTGCTGATAATTTGCTGCCCAAATTCATCTCATGAAGACAGCGTTGCCTCGTGGTTCTCATACCACGTACGAGCGCTGTCCGCTAAAGCAAAGTAGCGCGTGAAAGCTTTAGCTCGGTGGTCCAGCGGTTTGCCTTAGCGACTCGCTCATACTGGGCTAACCAGCCCTCCACGTCTTCATACGCCTCACCATGGAATGTCTCCGGAATCTGAGGCTGCTCAAAAGTCAGCTGGGAAGCACCTGCAGTTGCCATTTCTCCAGGCGGAGTGCTTTGCTGGGAAAGTTCCAGGGGAATCACCTCAGGACTAAGGCCTCGCTGTCGGCGACTGTAGCGGTGGACAGGGGTGTCCCAAGCATCAGTCGTAGAAGCCCAGCACCTCCACCAGTGTCGCAACGTACAAAGAACAGGACACAAGGCTTCCTTTCGACGTTAACAGTAAGGCTCTATTCACATACAAAAACAAAGCGCAAGAGCAGACGCGCAACGTCGTCTTCCTCGAAAAACGCCAAGACTGCCACTCGTGATGCCAGGCTTCTGCGTCCTTTTGTGTTTACGGCTAATAACCGTGACAAGATGCTCAGATGGGCACACACCTATAAGCATGCAAAGAATGAAATCGCCTCGCAGGCCCGATATACCCCTACTCGACCACGCGTGCGATGGAAAATAAACACAGTCGAATCTCATTAATTCGAACATGCTCAATTCAAACTTCTGGTCAATACGAACTCACGCTGTGGTCCCGTCAAATCTATGTGTATTCCAATTGACGAAAAAACACTGCAATTCGAACATGCAAGCCTTTTCAACAATTAATTCGAACATACCGCACTCCGAAAATGCTCTCAGCACCATGCCCAATCCGCGGACGGCACCTCTCAACGCTGCATGCGAAGAAGGAAAAGAAGAAAAGGAACGACTGACGACGGATTTTTTGCTTTCTCTCAAATGCCGATCGGCGACACGCCTGTGTGATGCTTCTCACTTTTCCGTCTCTGCCCATAAGACACTTTTCCTTTCAAGACCGCGCGCGGAGAAGAAAAAAGAAAGAAAGCTGTTGCGGAGAGTTGGCTATCTCTCTAATGCCGATCTGCTTCTCTCCACTTGGAGCCACTCCTCCTTTCTCGGTGCAGAGGGTAGCAGCGGAAACGCAGTTGTCTTTAGAGAGTGCTGGCGCTTGACTTAGTTGTGCGCTACTATACCTTGCAAACTGCATGAGAAAAAGATTGACCCTCTGCAAGGCAAACGTATGTAGACACGCATCACCGATTACTTCAATTAATGATGAATGTCCTCTGATTTGAGAACCAATGTAAGCCTTCTGAAGCTTCCCCATCATGCGTTCTTAAGTGAGAGGGAAATCGCCTTGCACCACAGCGCCGCTTCTCGATCATGCGACCCACTGAGCGCTTCCTCAATCCTCTCCGCTAGCTGTGTGAGGAGGACAGCTCTCGTGGCCGCGTGTGGCATGGCTGTAAGGTCGGCGCGGGAGTTTTGAAAGAGCCGCGCCGAACAAGCGTCGAACTGCGCTGAAGACTATATACTTAACACACAACAGTCTTTTTTTTTTTTTTTGACAGACTATTGATAGACTAATTTAGTTCAGTCATATCCATTCACTGGTCAATTTTACTTCATTACAACGAGGTTTCAAAATGCATGGTTCTCAATGAAGCTTTCAAGAGGGAATTTCATTTACTTCGTTATATCCATTATTTCGTTATGCCCTATTATGTTACAACAAGGTTTGAGTGTATTCTTGTGCATTTACCTTAATTTCTCGGTAAGTAGGGCACCGCTGTTGATTATATTATCATTTTAGATGTCATACATTGAGCTTTCACTCTGATGTAAACTGTTATTTAACGTTAGTGTCCCTTTAACTACTTTGGCACCTGCTATGCAGTTAAGTGCACCGTAATATTGACTTCCAATGAATGTTCCAATAACTAAAAAAATCTTATGACTAGCAGGCCCTGCTCGAAACTTCTACAGTAGCTGCTGGTAAACATCAATGACAAGTGCTAACCTCTTTAATTCCGATTGACAAAGTTTTCGACTTGCTTAGGGGTCGATACACTGGTCTCGGGCAGCTGGCACTGCGAATCTGCAAGGGAGAGGTAAAGCGAACTGAAGTGAACACAACAAATACAACAGCCTTGTATCATACTTGCAGCATGCAATTGCTGCCAATGGTACAGAACAGGGTTCATGCAACATAATGTGGAGCAATGCCTGCCTGCAGCGCACACAGCTGCACGGACTGATCGACATTTGTTTCTGGGCATTAGTCCAAGGCAGCCTACTCCCCATCACCTAATAACAACTCATATAAAATGCAAAAAAAAAACAAGTACTAAGACAATGCTTCTTGTTCAACAGTGAAACGACTGGCACCAAAAAATAACATCAAACTGAAGTGCCCAAGAAGCACTGCTTGAGGAATAAAACTATTCTAGCAAGTACAATAAGCAATAGACCTGCTGTAATATTTGCATTGTAAAGAAAAAACAGTCACAGCTTCTGCATTAGCTCTATAAAGCACTGTCATAAGTGAACACCATTGTTTACAGAACTGGGCACAGGGTTGCAAAAGCATTGCAGGCCTAACAACCTACTCGCATCCAAATGTAGTTCACTCATCCTCAGCAGCTACTTAGGTTGCTCAAGGTATACCTCTTAATATAGTCTCACAAAAGACTTGAGCGCATAATAAGTATCTCGTCCTATTTGGCCACATTCCAATAGAATTAACCTGTCACAAACTATTTAGAAAGGGTTTGATGTATTACAAGCATTCAACATGTGATTAACTGCATTACAGTAGAATCTCGATGATATGATCACGGCCGATACGAAATTCGGGGTGATACGAATTTTTTTGAGATCTTGGCCGAGGCCTATTAAGGGGGGACACGGGGCTTAAAAGGCCGAAAATCGCAAAAAAAAAAAAAAGACTTTTTGAAGTTGACATTTTTGTAATCTGCAGCTATTTTTGCACTTATATGAGAAGTTTCTACCTTCTCGCATCATTATTTATTGCACAAAAACAATTTATAACACCCCTGTGAGATGAATCTGAGCACAAATCGACAATAATGTCGCGCTTTTTCCACGCCGAACCATTGCCGTTACGCACGAGCTATCGTGGTCATCTTGGACTCGTTCGAAGGGTCGTTCTTCATCTTCAATTTCCCGCCACCAGTGGCTCTCCTTGCTCATTGGTTTTTCTGCAAAAACGCGTCATCAGGAAGCACCATCGCACGATTCTATTGGCGCGCGATTCTATTGTGACAAAACCTAGGCACCCAATTGGTCAAGTAACGTTTCTGGCATCTGCTTCTTCATTGTAATGCGCACAGACATGCGCCATTTTGTCATGGTGTTGTCGAATGCCTGCCTCAGCAAAGAAGTTCCTCGCCACACTAATTTGTGAAGCGGGTGTGGCGATCGTTCATTTGCTGTGAACTTTAGAAAGAGCCCCGTTATCACTCAGGACAAAGAGGATAGCAAACTCGCGGCGTTCAATGGCGGTCGTCGAGTCACCAGTGTAGGCCTAACTCACGTACGAGCCCATCGGCTGTCGACAACGTCGCTGAAAGCGGAAGTATTTTAGAGCCTCAACAGTTACAGGACGGCAAGTAAAAAACCAGAAGTGAAGCTATAAGAGATAGCAATCTAAGCAACGATGGAACGAAAGCGCAGTCTTATCACTAAACGCGCCGATGCCGTGGGTTCCACCCCGACTGACGCGAACTGCGTGACAGGTCGTCAGAGTGGACTTCACCGCGCGTCGGCAAACAACATAAAAGCAATTCGTTTACGGTGAATGTGCTTGCCGCCTGCGCAATGGAGGCTACTGGCAACAAGTAGAGTGCTTGTAACGACGCGTCCGCAACGATGAACATATTGGCCGCGGCCGCCTCTCGAAAATGTGGCAATCTTACGTGAAAAGGAAACTAACACCTCGCTGCTCTTGAGGCCTTGAAATTGATGAGCGAGTGCACAAATTCCGTCTGCTACATCAACAACTCAATCTGGACAAGCCGGAAAATCGATTTGTTATAAGACGGATCACGGATAACACACGCACATTCGTCGCACATAGGCGTCACCGAAATGATAAGCAGCCTAGTCGGCAGACGAGCACACGGCGACCGCACCAGCTCGTAAGTGTGCCTCTGCGGAAAACATACAGCGGACATGGAAAAAATGCCATTAAGGTGACGCAAAAACAAAAGGACTACATGGCTGGTGCCTACTGAGAAAGCTGAATTTGCAAATCATTGTAAATAAACAGCTTTTCCATGCTACTGTCTGCCCAAATAGACTTGTGTTTTTGCATGATTCCTCAGGATTCAAATTTCACTGCAGTTGCAAACTTGTCTAAAAGATATCTCTGCCTCCAGAGCAGCTAGGACTGCCATTTTTGTTGTGACATGTAGCTGTATCTTTAGTTTACACAATGGTAGGTGTGACTTTTAAATGAGATCTTCAAAAAATTTTATATTTGCCAGAAATTGGAGCATAAAGTGGGTGCGCCTGCAACACTGAAATACAAAATGCGACAAACCTTGCTAACATTATCAAATAAAAAAAGCACTCCTGCTGTTGTGTAGCTTATGTTCATTAGTATACAGGCATGTGCCAATAGTAGCTCTGGAATACAAATTTCTTGTGTCATTATACTGGCAAACAAAAGGTAATTAATTTTAGGATATCTCACAAACTAATTGGTTTAGAGGAACGGTAATTACATTTTTGAAATCAGCATCAAAAACTCGAGCATACTGTGAATTTTTTTTTATAAACAGATGAAAATATCTGGCATTTCGTCTCAAGTACAGTGTCCCCCCTTAATTTACTACGTGCTTAGAGTATGGTTGTTATGAACTGATTTTTTACCCAAGTCGTTTGATACGAATAAACGCCACCCTGCCGACGGCCGCGGAAGCAAGCAGCGTGCACGCACGCACTTAAATGCGTGCTGCGCCACCGGTTTGGCACGTTGCCAGTGCCTCATGCAAGCGGTGGGCGACAGACTAAGATCTGCGCGATCTCGGACACCGGAGTGCGCCAGTGTGCCTTTTGCTTTCACTTGAAGGCTCCAGATGGCACTGGCGACGATGGAAACACAAATCCAATCCAATCTTTATTTTGCTTGGTGGTGGGTGTTCTGTGGTGCGGACACGTGGTGGCAGTAGAGCGGAGGCTGTCGACACTGTGTTGCCCAATCAAGTACACGTGTTTGCTTTGTTGTGCCTTTTGGGGAGTCACAGCAAGCCATGTCTTGCAAGCGGAAACATACTTCGAAAGCTCGATGAGAGAAAGCTCGAAAAGAAAACCCACGGAGTTGGCTAAGGAACTAGGCCTCGCTTTGTCGACATTAAGCACAATTGTTGGGCAGCGGGACACAATAATGAAAAATGTGCTTTCGTTCAGCGTCGACACAAAGAAAGCGAAGAGAGCCCAACACGTGAAACTTGAAGCTTTATTGATCTGGTTCAAGTAGGCTGCTGCAGCCGGTGTGAACACTGACGGCAAAGTTTTGCGTGAAAAAGCCGACAAGATTGCACTTTCTCTGCACATCGACGGACTTCAGGCCTCAGGTGGGTGGCTGCACTGTTTCAAGACGAGACACGGCCTCGTGTACAAAAGTGTCTGCAGGGTAACCAAGAAGGCTGACGAGACGTTGTTAGCGACTGGCTCGCGAAGCTGGAGTCTCTTATCTCGGGGTATGAGCCTCGTGATGTTTTTAATGCAGATGAGGCAGGCCTGTTTTTTAATCTTCAATCCGAGAAAAGCCTTTGCTTAAAAGGTGAAGCGTGCCTAGAAGGCAAAAGAAGCAAAGAAAGAATAACGGTTCTTCTGTGCTGTAACACCGATGGGTCGGAAAAACTTAAGTTGGCCATAGTTCGAACATTTCAGAAGCCTCGGTGTTTAAAGCGCGAGAGCCATTTGCCATGCGTTTATCGTGCAAACAAAAAAGCGTGGATGATGGCGGCCCTTTACGTAGAATTTCCGTCTCTCCTTGACAGAAGAATGGCCTGCAAGAATCGGATGATTGTTCTGATTCTTGACCAGTGCACTGCCTACCCGAAGCAAGTGACCCTTCAAAACGTCAAGCTGGTTTTTTTGCCCGCAAACACGACGACGCACTTGCAACAGCTTGACGCTGGGATTATAAAAAACTTCAACCGCCATTTCAAGAGCCTTCTTGTGCACCACTTCCTTGCCAATATCGACAGAAAAGACAAAGATGGCCTGCGAATAAGCCTTTTAAACGCCATCCATTTTATCTCGATGGCTCGGGATAGAGTAACGCCGACTACCATTGTGAACTGCTTTGGTAAATGCGGCTTCTTTAGGATTCACAAAGAGGTGCCAGAGATCCTTTCAGAGTTCATTGAGAGTCCCATTGAGGGTTGGGAATGCCTTGATGCCGGCTGTTCGACTGACAACTTTTGCACGGCGGATGACAATCTTGCCACTTTTGGTGCGCGCACGGTGGAAGATATTGTCAACGAGGCCACGAGTAAGGTTGCCGATTCCAGTGATGATGGCAAGGAAATATACGAGTGCGACGGCGAAGGACCACCACTGGCGGCTGAAACTGCACGCACTCGACGTCCTGAGGCGTGCTTTGGCTGCTGAAGAAATCAGTGACGACACGTGCACGCGTTTTTACGTGTTACAGAAAAGTCTGCCGAGTGACTTGACAAAAAAAAAAAAGCAGAAAGACATCAGAGATTTTTTTCTCCAAAAAATAAATTTTTATCGAGTGCCGAAAATGAGTTCGCCTCCGACTCAGTTTTAATTTAGCTAGCTTTGCATGTGTTCCGATGATACGAATTTCGGCTATTACGAATATTTTTTGTGACCCCGCGAGATTCGTATCATCAAGATTCTACTGTACAAGCCATAAGATCTTGTACTTATATAAACAGCAGCTTGAAGTCACTGTGTACTTGTTCAGTACCAATCTCTGAATTGTAAGCCCATTTTTTTCGTCTCTTCAAATTTGAATATCTTTACTCGTTCATTCAGTTAGGACGACACCATTTTGAAAACAACATTCCTAGTCACACGTAGAAGTGCCTTCAAATTACCAGATGCCATATATAATAAGAATCATGTAACTAATTCATCATTTTCTGAAACCTACAGCATAGTATAGTTTGCCAGTTGACTGTAAATTGATGCAGGTATGGTACTGCAACCACTGCCAACATCTTAGGGTTTAAGAAAAAAAAACAGCAATGCACAAAGATTTCCACTGAATGGACTCATGTTTTTATTTAAGCCAAAGTATTAGAAAATATATAGGCAGGAGAAACAATCAATGTCTCCTCATTTGCTTGTAGGTTTTAATCTCAATAGGAATTAACTCTCCCTGCAACCACAGCTTCAAGCCAGGCTTACAACCTTATCAAGGCAGTTAATACGTTATTGCTGCTGCAGTGTTTTCATCTCAGGCAAACAGAAAAGGTCACTTGCACAATCTTAGATAAGTAAATGAATCCCATGATGCAAGTGACTCGGCGTCGATTTAGAGTGAGTAATCTCTAATAAGTACTCTCCCTTAAAATTGCAGAAATCTGTAATGTCAGCTTTACTGTTTCTGTGACTGGTTACAAGTTCCTCAAATGATTAGCTTTAAATTTCATCAGGAGAGGTAGACCCAGTGCCAAGCACACATTGTTGGTGCATGTCAATATGCATGTTGCCAAAAAATGAGATGTGTCTGGTGCCAAGGCACAAGAAACTACATTGAATATTAGTGATGCTGTTTGATGAGGGCTTTGTGCAGTCCATCCGTGTGAAGCCAGCAGTGTTCATCTTTATGATCACGCTTATCTCGAAACTCAACTCACTTCTTTTCTTGTTTCCTTTTGCAGTATTCAGTTTTGAGCTAACAGGGTTTCACTGCACTTTTCTTCACAGTTTCCATAGATATAGTTTCGATAACCGAAAGTGAAGGATGTATTGAGGCCTCTGCCAGGGTCAAACAACAAAGCATACCTCTTGTTATCATGAGAGCACATTTCCAGAAGCAGTTCAACAAACCCCTCTAGGCTAGTGGTCAAATGAAAGCAGTTACAAAAGCAGTGAATGTAGTGATAAGCTCACTGTCTTTAAGTCCAAGGGTACAGACAGCCTTTCGCACAGCCTCCTCCTCAGCCTCTTCTCGCGATTCTTTCTCATCAGGATACGAGTTGAAGGACTGCACACCCACTTTCAGCGTTGCCAGCCACACCAGGGGCCCCTTTTTCGAGCTGCGGCTGCTCAGGGCACTTAACGACACTTCAAGGTTACGGCTTCGTGCATAGTCCTCCACCAGCTCACGACCAGTCTTTGGAGCTGCGGAAAAAAAAAAAAGTGAACGTAGCAAGCACTATTATATTGTGCAGGTGCTGCTTTCACCGACACTGCGTGGCAGCTGTATATTAAGGAAACGCCTGAGGAGACCACTCGAAGTGGTAAGTACGAGGTAGCAAGAATTGGATGCAACGACTGTCTTACAAAGTGTTGCATTTGAGAAACGCATGAGTAGGTTCCAGTACAATCATAAAAGGTGGCCAATTTTGATAACATGGCAAACATAAAACAAAGGAAAACGCATTGTTTGAGTTTTGCTCAAGCTGACAAAACATAAAACTGAAAGGGTAATGCTTTGTTTGAGTTTCGCGCAAGCTGACACACAAGCAAGAAGCACTGCACCCTCATGCTTACCAGGTGGCGTTGGTGGGGGTGTAGGCAACTTGGGGGGCGGCGGAGGCACGTGCGGCGGTGATGCAGGAGAAGGGGGAACGGGCTCACTCGCAGACGGCGGAATCAAGAAGCCATTAGAGGCCGTCCGAGGCATGCGAAGGGGTGCCCTTGGCACAGGCTCCTCAGTACCATTGCCTGGCAGGCTAGTAGATGCTGCAGCAGGAGCTGTCCCATTGCGTGGCCGCTGCCACCTGGGAGGAACCTCATACTTGAAGCCGGGCTTAGCCGATGGTTGCCTCTGCGTGTAACAACGAATTGCAGATGAGACAATGGAAGCATAAACAAGAGACACTCCAGTTTAAAAGTGATTATCAATTTTTTAAGCTATCTTTTTTTTGATCGCACCCTAATAGAATCACAAAAATGAATAAGTACAGGTCACCTAAAACGATGATGCCATATCCAGAAGTTGAGCAGATATTGCTGCCACTCACTTGTGCTTCCTTCCCTTATAGCACAAGTAGTCACTTCAAAGCAAACGAGAATATTTGGAATGTCTTTCTGTCAAACAATAATCGTCACTGAGATGAATGGCTTTCAAGATGAAGGCCCATACACAGAGTGTTAGTCAACACCACTCCTCTACTCATTAAAATCAACAGTGAGCAGCTAGAGTTTTTTTTTTTTAATGGACTGCCCTGAGTGTGCACCTTGAGTTAGATACATATGTACTTTACTTATTATAACAGTTATCTACCTTTTGACAAAGCAAATGCAGAAGCAAACTTGAAACATCAGAGAGTATCAAGTAACACTGTTTTAAAGTGAAACGAGAGTTCTTCATAGCTTTACTGGTTATGAAGCTTTCATGAAAGTTTGATACATGGACAGGAGCAGTCGCTCAGAGTGCCAGAGCCCGTGTGTGGACATCGCCGCAGCACTGGCCCTGCAGTTCACATGCATGCGTCGGAACTGCAAAATGAGATTGAATGTAACCATGAACGTAGATTAAACCTTGAGAACGGTATTACTAGGTTTGTGCAAATCTTAATAATTTAATTTCAAATCAAAGCAAATTTGAATACCGTGATATTCAATTGAATAATTGAAGCATTAGGTATATTCGCACAAGCCTGAATATTACCTCCGAAAAAATTCAGAGACGCTCTATAAAATGCAATTAGCTTCGAATCAGGCCTTGGCACTAGAAATTTGATGACAACACGTGCTGCTTTCACAGTGAAATGTGCTACCGATATAAAAGCTTGTTCCTTTCATTTTTTCTAAAGCATCTAGTCATAATCTGTGGATGATCCAGAGTACTTCAAGTACACTGACAGATCTTAATGCATCACAGAAGTGCAGTGGCTGCAACTTTTGACTACACACATCGAATCTCTCCAGTGATAGACACGTTGCTTGTATAAGACAATATCGCAACATACCCTCATATTTATTAAACCAACACTCAGTTAAAATGAATCATTCCTTTGAATTAAGCAATTGACAAGGATCAAGCTATACTTCAAACAGCTTTTCCCTGCTTATCCGTGTTTTATTTTGTGCCGATTTATCAGTAAAACGCCGTGTGCTACGTTGAAATCTAGTTGCTCATGCAATACTGTGTAGTTTTCACAGTCCAATACAGCTTTTAGGGTGAAAGCCTTAGATGCCTCATAAAAGGTGAAAATTGACCGCTGGCATTGGCACGGGTCACCGACATCAACACAAGCGATGCGAAAAAAAAAAAAAAAACACGTGACGCCGTCACCGTATGGTGTCATCCCAACCTCACAGATCCTCCAAATTCGTCACATACCGTGACGTCACACAGTGAGGCCATCACAAAACATTGTTCTTTTGCTTTGCTCCCTTGATCATTGAGCCGATCACAGAGGCAGTGTCATAACATCCGAGGGGCAAAAAGCTTGCAATGCACCAGACACTGGACGCTGTTCAAGACCAGTTTAAAAGGACCCTGCAACACTTTTTGAGCATGGTCAGAAAACGGTGCCGATCAGTTGTAGAGGCTCCCGACAACACAGCCAAATATTATGGCGCAGTAGGTCGCTTGGAATTCACAATAAATTATTGAAGTAAGCTAAAAACTGCTTTCTCTTCTCTCGACAAATGACAGAAGATGCTCAAAAAGCACCCAAATCTGAGCACACAGGCCTACAGCATTTTTCGCCACCATCAAAAATGCAGCTGCCGCAGCCGGGATTCGATCCCGCAGGTCAGCAGCCAAATACCTCAGCCACTCGACCACTGCGGCGGGGCCCTTCCCGACCTACAGGCTCCACACAATAGTTACAATGCAGGCACAAAAGCTGAAAACTGCGTTGGATGACTCGCCACAGACATTTTACACTGACACCTGCATCCACCTTCGCTTCACTCTGTCCAATGCCAAAAGACTGGACGCAGCGCCACCCCGCTTGCAGAGCGCAAAGCTCCCCCATTTTTTAAGTTGTGGCGAAGCTTTGAGACTAGTAAAAGTACTGAAGGAACCTGGCGAAGTTTCCTTTGTGGACCACTCCTGGTTTTCCCTATCGTGGTTGCTACTGCTGCTCTCCAGCCAAGCAGTATTGTCTACTTCACTTACACGATCACAGCTTAGGTCACACTGTATCTACTTACCTTGGGCTGGTCCATGCACCAACAACAAAGGCAACTGAAAGCGATGTCGCAAACGTGACAAAAGACAAACAGAAGCAGCATGCACTAAAGAAAGATTGATCATTCATGAGTGCCCTCACCAGGGGAGGCAGCCCTCTGCTCGTGCCACGGTGAATCTTCCTAGGTGGCATCGCCATGGGGCTAAGAACTGGGAGTGTGGTGGATGGCTTTTGGTTGTCCAGTTTGCTTTGATAGCAGGCAAACCTAACACTGGGGCCAGTCCTAGCTGGCCGCTGCAAGGGTGATGAAAGCTTTAAAACTAATCACGAGCAGTTACGGGAAGCCGCAGATACACAAGAATGAAACTCTCAAAAAGCACCTCATCAAATCAACTGTAAATTTTTGTTTCCAAGTGCAAGCTGAAGGACACTGCCCAGAGAGAGTAAATAAAGTTTTTTTTTTTTTTCAAACAGGGTCATTATTGGGACAGTTGCAAGAAGTTTAACAGTCTCCTTTCACCAGCAGGAGATGTTCACTGCTAGCATGGGCACTATCTGACGTGGCCTTGACAAGCATCTGCCAGTAAAAGCCCTTCCCCGAAGCAAAGCAAATCTCAACGTTCCCATAATAAGATGCACCTACTTTTGTTTTCTTGTATTTCGCTTCATGGCACACAGTGGCATACAATGCACATATTTTAACGAAGGATGAACAGAAATCACATGCAGCTGTTGGCAATGTTGTAAGCAGTGTGCATAGCACAGAACCTTCGTGCACGAGAGCTTCCTTCTTTCTTAAAACACTGCCCCTTGAAAGGTGCCCAGCCTTTGCTTTAAATTTCAGCTGTTGGCAAGACATAAAACCGTCTCATACATTGCACACACAATAATAATGGTTGGCATTACAGGTTGGTTGGTCTGGCTATAAAATGAAAGCTTGACAGAGTAAATTTGCTCTCATGGAGGAAGAAAATATTGATTGATATGTGGAGTTTAACGTCCCAAAACCACTACATGATTGTGAGAGACGCCGTAGTGGAGGGCTCCGGAAATTTCGACCACCTGGCGTTCTTTAACGTGCACCCAAATCTGAGCACACGGGCCTACAACATTTCCGCCTCCATCGGAAATGCAGCCGCAGCAGCTGGGATTCGATCCCGCGACCTGCGGGTCAGCAGCCGAGCACCTTAGCCACTAGACCACCGCGGCGGGGCATGGAGGAAGAAAATAAGTATGGGTATGAGTATTTTTCTTAAAGATAAATTAGCTGCTTTGCACACATTTTAACAAGACCTTCAAGGTTGGCATGCTTTCTTAAAGTCTCCAGTGCACCACTCCCGTTGTATAGATCCACTTGCTCCAAGTTTAAATAAAATATGTATCAGTGCTCTGCTTACCCTGGCTGGGATTGCTTTGGCTGCCATCTTCTGACCAGCAACAAGCTGTGATACATGAGCAGTCACGGGTTTGTACACAGCTTGCACAACGATTGATCCATTGTCAGGTGACCTAACAGCAAGCGGATATGGATTAACATGGGTATACAAATATACACAAGTTGTACATATAATAAATTCAGCAGCAGGTTTAGTTCCCAGGAAACGGAAACTTTTCATTAAGGACGTACATTATTTATATATTTCTTGGAATGGTATCAAGGGACATTGTCGATTACATTGTGTAGATTAAAACTGTCCCCATTTTGTCAAAAAAGGAACACCGAGTGTAATAAATAAGCTTATTATTTTAACTGCTCAGCAACTGTTGAGCACCAACAACAAATTGGATCATGAATCCAGGCTTTGAAACCTCCTAGATAAATAAAACCTTCCAAGAGTGCTGGCGAATACCTCCAGCATCCCGCATTCAGGTAGTGTTCAGCATTTGATTGATATGTGGGGTTTAACGTCCCCAAACCACCATATGATTATGAGAGACGCCGTAGTGAAGGGCTCCGGAAATTTCGACCACCTGGGGTTCTTTAACGTGCACCCAAATCTGAGCACACGGGCCTACAACATTTCCGCCTCCATCGGAAATGCAGCCGCCGCAGCCGGGATAGTGTTCAGCATTGACACGTAGCAACTGAGTTGTAGGGCAAATTTCACTGGGGAGTATTTGTAGGCTCTTAGAGTTGGGGCATATGTTTTGCAATGTAAATCAACAAAAATTGGGCAGCCACCACCACAAAAGCATGTGCAGTTCCTGTACTGCCAGTCAAATAAAAGGTGCGAGAAGCTCTCCCTGTATTAAGGAAGTGGCGATTAAGGGGTTTACTCAATGGGACCAGGTCATCGGATGCACTCAAGACAGCCTGATGAATACAAAGACAATATATAGGACAAGGACTTCATATCACACTAACGAACACCAGGACGATACGAGGTTAAAAAGTCTACAGGGAAGTCCCTGTCCATGGCGACACGTAAGTATGCGTCTCAACACTCAACGCACTTCGCTCTCGCACCACCAAGTTTTCAAGACCACACTCACGCGCACCGACGTTGCGATGACCGTAGCACCAGTCAACGTGGCGTTGAGTCCGTCACGGTAGCGTCCGCAGTAGGAACATGCCTTCTTGTGTAGCTCGCTGGCTCGAGCTTACGTCGATGTCCCGCACCCCGACGTCTCGCTGGCGTCCAGGTTACGCTCGACCAGGGCAAGCGCACAAGACACAGGGTCCAAAGCCCCAACAACCATCGAAGCCGGCCGCGCGCTCGCTGCACCAGTCGTCTTTCTTCTTTTCTTCCAGTCAATTTTCCGCCCCGAATTTGCCCCTATGGCGCACTCGTCATAGTCGTCGCATTCTTTTCTCCTCTTTCAGAAAGTTGCACGCTTTTCGACTGGCCCGGTTGAAGTAGTTCACATAGCGTGCAGCTTCACAGTGCCGAGGTGTCAAAGAATGTAGGGATGCTCTTAGCTTAGTCCCTTTCTTGCTGTTATACATCCAGTTCGAAGTACATTGTCGGGTCACAGTTCAGTTCGGGATTGGTCCACCAGGTTCCTCCCTTTCTTCCATGTACTGGCACATAACCAGAGTTCTTTTTTTTTCCTATGTGCTTCTGTGTACTGCGGTGGCTTATCGATGTTCATATAGATGGAGCAGTATTCAATCCAAAAATCCGGGTCTGAGTGCCAAGCTTCGTAGTCCACAACACGCCACAACTTACAGTTGTCCCGAAGTTTATTTGCCTATGCACGATACGAAGTACAATGCTTCAGGCTCACAGCGTTCCTAGCTGCATTACTACCCTGCGGTTTCCGGCTCCTTTTGCCCAAATCATGATCTCCTGGGTCTATTTTAGGGTTTGTCATTGCCACTCGCTTTGCGTTAGGATCAAAAACAAGAGTCTCAGATACGCATGACGTGCTCTTTGTTTGGCCGAGAGGTTTCAACTGACGACTGCAAAGACCATGCTGCTCGATACTGCTGTCACCTTCAATGCCATCACATGTCTGCTTAACACATTCACTTGCGAACTGTGTACTCAGAGCTACATCATCACATTCTCCAACATAAACTTTTTCGAGTGTAGCTGACAGGCTTGTGTCAACATCATGGATAACTATCTCATTCTTGTGAGGTTTGACTTGGTCCTCTTCATTAACTTCCTTAAGCACTACCCTATTTGCAATCTCTCGGATTTCCAAGATACCTGTGCATATCTCAGACAACAGCTTCTATCCTTTCAGTCGCAAACGCACAAGCTCATTGTCATTTTAGCACATGTACCGCAGTTCAAAATCCATTCTCTCGCGTTTCTCTTCGATGTTTTCTTGCAACATTCACTCTAAGTCAGAGCAAGACCACCCGACCTCCTCTCCAATACAAAGCAGTCTTTGCACGTTAACAGGCATCCTGTGCGCGACCGATTCTCGGCTGAAAGATTGTAAGTTCCAATCTTGGCAGGCTCGCCAATTGTGACAGGTTCGTGTGGGCCCAAGTGCACAATCGACAAAAGATGCGACGTAAACGACAGCACGTTTATACGACATGGGCACACACATATATTTGAATATTGACACTGACAAAAATTCTTTGCGACACAAATATCCCTGTACTTCTTTAGCCTACAGTACACGGTTCCCACGATTCAGACAGAGCGCAGATATTTCACACACCCCTCACACGTCGCTGTCAACGAAATGGTCCGACGTGTCGCTTTGAGGTTGTGGTGCTACAGTGTAGTTTTCCTATCATGACAGTTGCTGGTACGGCCGCTTCGCTGTAGCGTGGCTGGCCAGATGCGTGTTTGACCACGCCTGGAACACCGGTAGGCCAGTCCCGCAGCTAGGCCTCAGCTTGCCTGGCTCGGTTGCCCCCCCGAGTCGCAGGCTCACTCGTGGGTCTCGATGGTGACACTCCGTCGTTGCCTGGCATCGCTCATTGTCTGAGTTTGCCTTGAATCCACCCGTGAGAGGTTCAGCGCCGCAACGAACCGGTAGCAGTCGCAACCCTTGTTCTCTTCTGCTGTCCGACTGCCTCGACCTGCCTGGCTTCTCGTGCGTTCCAACCTGCTTCATCTTTTTCCCGATCCCTCGTGAGCGGCACCACCGTGCACCACACACATTTTCGTCCTATTTTGGTCTCTAAATTCACGTTGCACTAAATAATGCACTCCACTCGTCACACGGGAGATGCGAGTATAGAAAAAGAAATTTCTATTTTTTTATTAGACCTTTTTTTATTTGCTTTCAGTTTTTGTACTTTCACAACAAAAAATTTAACATTGTAAATAAACTCGAGATAGGTTAAAACTGGTTTTCAAAGAGCAAAAGGTGGCTACTAAACAATGAAAGGAGCTCATTTTCCAGTCCCCTGGAAATTGTCATTTGGCTGCTTACATTGCATTTCGAAAGCATGAGCGGTTCACCAAAGCTGCATGCTCAAAATAACTATAATTCCCAAGCTCTCCTGATGGAAGAAATAATTTTATAAAACATATCTTTCCCGTGTGAATGGGCTGTCAATTATACTTCAAAAATTCTTTTCCAAGCTACTATTTCTGGCAACTTTTTTTAGTTTAGACATGCTTTTGGTACTTCTGATAGCCAGATCGGTATTAAATTTTGCCCACATTCTTAACAAGAGAAGAGTGCAAGCATCTCCTTTGAACCTCAATATTGCTTATATAATTATTACGATTGAATGATAAGTGGGGTTTAACGTCCCAAAACCACCATATGATTGAGAGATGTCATATTGAAGGGCTACAGAAATTTCAGCCACCTGGGGTTCCTTAACGTACACCCAAATCTGAGCGAGCGGGCCTACAGCATTTTCAATTATTTCGAACCTAGAGTAAGCAATCAGTATGGTCTGAGCATTCTAAGACTTCTCACATCACAATTTTTCTGGTCCATTAGATTGCCTTTTACGCACTTCCTTGTTAGTTATTTGCATTCTACAGTTAATGTGGAGCAATATGAGACATTAATGGCTCTGAACCAATCAAATTTAGTGGCAAAAAAGAGTGTCCGAAAAGAACTATAATTTATACATTGTGAAGGAATAAAATAAGAACTATGCAGATTACTATAAAACTGATTACATATTTGAAATGAGCCTAAAAACCTATGTATACAGCAAAAGTTTCATTTCCCTAGGCTACAGATTGAATACTTTTTTTTTTTTCGAGTACCCTCTCCTCTTAAAGAGCCAGTAAACAGGCTCTGACTTTTTTTTTACACCCCCCATACAAGCTAGGCAATTCGTAGATTAGACCGCAGCGATCACGTTTTCCGAATATCACAGCGCTGCGCGCCGCGCAGAGCCTCTATTTCGAAAAACGATTCCCGCGCATCTTTCCTACGCCTGACCAACGCCCTTGCACCCGCAGTGACGTCAACTCGGCGATCAACGATGTGACGTAGCACGCAGCTTGCCGATTGGTCTAAATCAGGTGTGAAAGAACAGAGTGAAGTCAACATCAGTTCCTGTTCCCACCCACAGCTACGAAACTGCCCCTTGTTTCTTGGCACGGCGGTCAAAGAACCAGCCTCGCAGTTGTCGCGTGCACGTGTACACTGCTCGCTCAACTATAGTGTCTGTGCGCACATACGAACGTACTTTGTTCTTGACATGAGCAACACGGGTAAAAGCGTTGCTCTGTCGTCGGCTGCAAATCGAGCGACTGGGCAGCGAAAAAGCATCGGCACCGAGTGCCTCACAATGGGGCCCTGCGCGCTGCATGGCTGGAGCGAATCAGCCAACCAGCAACATCGGGGACCTGATAGTTTGTGGTCGACACTTCGCACCTGACACACGGTTGACCCGCGGCTGGTGCAGCAAACGGTAAACAAACAACCATGCTTCGCAGCAAGCGGAAGTGCGTTGCACTGATCGATGTTCGCCGATGACGTCAATCGCTGACGAGGTGTCACGTTGCCGAAGTGGGCGGAGTCACGACAATTGGTTATGCCTTCCCCTTCAGGAAGAGAGAAGGGGGCGAGGCCGCGCGAAAGTTTGAAACCAGCTTATATCAATGTTCTAACCTCTGAAACTTGCTTAATATAGCACGTATTTGCAAAATTCTTGTGGCAGCATGTTCACAAAGAAAAACTGCACATATATCTCTTTTTAGAAATTTTTGGACCTCAGGGCAGTTTACTGGTCCTTTAATGAAAAGCTCCACCTTTCTTTTGAACTATTGTGCACACTAATGACATGTAGACACACTGACAGGGCTGTTGTGTTGAACAAGTGAGCATTCGATTGACTGCGACGCTTTAGCAGTAAACTGAACTCATGCGCCATGCTGCTTATTTCATAAGCTCATAAACCAAGCTGCAAGCGCCTGTCATGAGAACACAAAAAGCAAAACTCATCACAAAGTTTCAAGAGGTCAAGTATACAAACAAAAGAACTCACTTTCGAATAGCAGCTGTGTTAGGAATGCTCTTTATGTAGTCAATCAGCCTGTCAAAGCCAAACTTTTGAAAAGGTATAGGGCTGCCAATCAGAACAGTGTATTCCTCTGGAAAAACAATTCCATGCATGCATTCAGATCCTCCTCACAACACAACGTATGAAGCTCTCTCCATCCTCTTTCATGCAGAGCACTTGTCAGAAGTTTGTGCAGCATATTTTTCTTTAAAGCTAGAGTGCAAAGCTCTCGCACAGCTATGATTGCAACAGTACCAACACTTCTTAACATGTATATAACTCAACTTCACTGAACATAAGCATAAACCCAGACAACAACATCCATGCCGCAATAAGGTGCAGCACTGGCAAACACGCGAGTATATCGCATGCAGCCGCATTCCTATCCAGCTATGTCCCCCCCCCCCCCTTCCATTTTCTGATTTACACGTGCAAACAACTGCCAATTATATACTTACACGCGCCTTATTACGACTTTTTTTATTATTCTGCCTCTCTAAAAATCAAGGTCCTCCAATACACCTCTCTAGAAACAGAGCATCAACAGCTGTTAATAAACGTGTCGTCAAAGTCGGGCGTTGCGCGAACATGCGAGGCATGCAGGCTAAATTCGAAAACACAAAGTTGACACACATGACAATGAACGTGCAGGTGTGCTCGATGCGTTTACCTTGCAGTTTTGAGAGAGGAATTCCATTCTTCTCGCAGCTCAGGACCGAATGCAGAAACGTTTCGACCTCCTGTTTTTGTTGACACTCCATTGCGCCGACCTAAAATAGAATGGTCGCAATGAACAAATCACCAAAAACAAGTCATCTGTCAAGCAACTCGACTTGAACGTCATTCATTTCCCAAGACGGTACGCCAATTGCAACTGCTTGGAGTAATGTTAGCAATGTAAATCATTCATGACTCTTTTTTTTTTTTTTCAAACACCAAAATTGCCTTTTTTGGCAGCATGTTTCCGAATGCGGGGTAGACCATTATGAATTTGCCGGAATTCCTATGTTTGTCGGTCTAATTCATAAGGTCGGCAAGTGTTCGAATTGTGCTTTAACCTCGGCGACAAACGACACAGCATATGCGAATAAGCTACATAGCAATCGCTCACTTGACGAGCATGAAATTCATCAGCGGACAGGCGGAGCCGTGAAGTTCAAAAAACCGATCTGCCAATCAAAGAACGCGGAAGCATACTATGGACGTCTCGGGAGACGCGAGGTCAACGCCACTTTGACAGCGGCTTTCTTGCGTCAAAACAGTTATGGGTAAAGATGCGTACTCACAGATAACGGCTTTGATCCCGTGTTGTGCGAAAATAAAAACGCTGCTAGAACATGCTGCACCGCTAACGCAGCCGCTGTAGGCTTACTACGCGCATTGTTGGGGCCCTTCGAATTCCTTCAACGCGCGTTTGTCCGCTTTCGGTCGTCGTCTTCTTTCTTTCGAGTGTCGTTGCACGCGCGTTCGCCTCAACAAGATTTTACATGATGGCTTCCAGCGCGTCGGCGTGCATGCTGTCGAAAAGCGCGACGTGTAACCTTGAATCGCAAGAGCTAAAGAAAACCGAAAGTAGCCACGGGCGTTGAATGCAACGTTGCCAATATTTTCTCAAAACTTCCCCAGGCATTCCCCAGGCAATTTTATAATCCCTAGTTGATATCAACGTTGGTCATTTCCATAGGGGAAGGAAAGCTATTCCTTTTTCTCCACGTAAAGCTATTCCATGGAGAAGTTTATTCCTTCCTCCATGGTCACATCATAATCATCTTCCTGCAGCGCTTTCATAAGAGTGCACCGAGTGGCGCAACCGGCTGCCGCGGGGCGGCCAGTTTTGTGTGGAAAATAGCGGCGGCGCTGTAGTCAATTACACTTTAAAGAGTTCTCCGCGCATGTGTCCATGCATGCACGCGCACACAGCAACGCACATAATAATTAGCTCTCCTACGCACCCTTCCAAATGAAAAAAAAAAAAAAAAACTGGCTACGCCTCTGTCTGTCGACGCAAATGACGCTGAATTGCATCAAAGTTGCGGCGGCCAAAATATTCTACATGCCCGTGTGCTTAGACTTAGGTCCACGTTAAATGGGGCCCCGCAGCACTTTTTCAGGTATCGAATGTATGGATTCGATAAAGGAGTAATTTATTGCCGCACAAACAGACCACCACAAAAAAATTTACAATCTGTCAGTTACGAGCGGAGTTAGATTTGTCGCACGCTGTAATTGCTTTCTCTCTCCTCTCATCCCGATGGATGCGCTAAGCTAGGCATGGAGGAATGGCACGGGGAAATTAAGCGAGGTACGTCGGTACGTCTCGCGGGTCATACTTTGAGCACTTTTTTCTGCGAACGCGGGGCTTGCTTTCAGTGGGACCGCGCGCTTGCTTGCGGGCACGTGGTCACCGCAATAACAACGCAGCGCATATATTGATCGTGTCCAGTTAAATCATCCAATGGAATTATCAGGGGATCGTTAAAGAACACCAGATGGTCAAAATTTCAGGCACCCTTCACTACGGCATCCCTCACAACCATATTGTGGTTTTGGAACGTAAAATTCCATATATTATCTTTATGATTTATTTAATAGAGCTGGGGGGGGGGGGGGGCTGCGATGATTTCACCTCCCTCTCCCTCCCTTCAAGGAGAACCCTGCGCACGTCTATGACCCCTGTTCAATATATCGGTCCGGCTGAGCAAATTAAGGTTTGGGTAAACTTGGCGCTTTCAGTGGGCAGCCCCCCACGGGAACCACCGTGGAAAACCTTCCCAAGTGCGTTTGTGGGACTATTAAGTCGCGCATGCGATAAGCGTGATTCGCCGCTTCGGTCGTCTAGGGGGGGGGGCCTCTGTGCACTTCCGCACTCACCCCTGGCGCTTCTAGAAGCCCTCGCGTTTCTTGCCTGCTAAACTTAGAGCAAACTCAGAGCTGCAGGTTGAAAACGGGAAATGGGAGCATCTACGTTTTTTACCAACTAATTGGCTCATATATGGTGCTGCAAATGATGCCTCCAGTGATATCACTTCAGTCCATCGCATGCAATGTGTACATAGTACATATGCTGGTCAGCTGCACGATTACGATTTCTTGCTATGTCAGTCTAAAAAGTCTAGATTTACTCAATGACTCTTTAAGATTTTGGCACAAATCGTCCACACAAGAATGAATTGACGGATGCACTTATGCCTCATATAACCTATATAGTTAAGAAATTCCGAATGTTATGCAAGAATAATTGCAGCAACCATATTTGAATGCTCTCTCTGAGCTACCTGTGACCCCCAACTGAAAAATTTCCCCGAAGCCGGCTTCTAACTTTGCGCAAGTTTCTTGTATAAGTTATTCATTAATTAATGGGACATTAACGGCAAGAAAAGTCCATGCTGATAGCTGACGGTCCAGAAACCTCATAGTACTTTTTCACCAAGGAAGTGGTTATTTTGAAATAAAATTCTTTTTAGTAGTCCGCATCGTGTTAGTAGAGTAGCGATAGCACACTTCAAATTACCCTGCAACACTTTTTGAGCATGGTTAGAAAACGCTGCCGATCGGTAGTAGAGGCTCCCGGCAACACGCGAGCCAAATATTATAGCGCTGTACGCGGCGTGAAATTCACAATAAATTATGAAAGTTAGTTAATATTGCTCTTTCTTCTCTCAACAAATGACGCAAGACGCTCAAAAATTACTCGTAGAAAGCTCATCTATCAGCCATTGGCTGATTTAAACATGGCGCGCTAGGTCTTACAGAGATCGCCACGGGAGGCCGTGACTTGTCCACGCGTGCGTGCGCGATCACACAGAAAAACCACGCACACGAAAAAAAAAAAGTGCCGAAGGTCACGAGGCACTGGTGACGTATTTTCTTTGCCCCTGCCATCCCTTCCTGCTTAGATATTAGCGCTTTCGTCGGGACGAGAGAAGAAAGAATGCAATTACAGCGTGCGACGAATCTGTTAAACTACACTCGCACTGGACGAATTCTTAACATTTTTGCGGCGTTGAAATCGTGAGCCAATAAGCTTTTCCAGTGAATTCATTCCATGGTTACTTAAAAAAAGTGTTCCAGGGCACCTTTAAGTGAAAATTTTCACGACAATGTTGCCGTGCACAACGTTGTGCGGCTTTACTGCACGGCCGTCGACACTAGTAGCAGCAGAGCGAAAGTAGCAGGAGCCACAGCAGCAATAACGGCCCTTGAACAATTTCCTGCCATGGCCTCCGAGATGGCAGGTGTGTTTCGTTCAACTAGGCACCACTAGATTGAAGTTTTTAATCGCTCGCGCCATAGTTTCATGTGGCTCGTCATTCCCCATAGTAACGTCCGGTGGCTATTTTTTTCCATGAATCAAACAGAAGCGAACAAGCAGCATTTTATTATGTCTCTTGATGCACGGAAGGTTCATTATTCAGAGCAGCTAGTTTGATTACTAGTGAATAATAGCAGGCGGTAAATCTGATGTCATCTGAATCATTTTGCGAATGTTCTACTCGTAGCGCATGCGTTGCCATGCATTTACATTAATTTCTTGGTGAGTAGGGCACTGCTGTAATATTGTCCTTTTAGACATTGTGACACATTTAACTTTCATTCTGACATGAATTATTTGACTTTATGTGCTTTTGAAAGTATACACATGTAATTTCCATCCGAAGCTTTACACAGAATTGTACGTTTTTACGCAGAAGGCCACCATGCAGTTAAGGTGCAGCATATGTTCCTGCACAACAGTCTGACAGAGTGAAAAGCAACTAGAAAGAACAAATTATGAACCTGAATTTTTTATTATTGGCAGAGTACAGAAACATGCAACACAACAAAGCACTGCAGCTGCACAGCATTTTATCATCGTGTCTCTCAATAACTTCACGACGAGGGGAGGGCCAGTATCAAAAAGGTAGTTGGACCAGCTGTTGATTCCTGAATAAAATTGAACAGTGCAGAAGCCCGTTTGCTTGACAGCAAACAGAGAAACAATGCCACGGTGGCTCCCAGTGCCATATGCTGCAACGGTTGAACACATATCTCCAAGATATAGTATGCAGAGTTCCCTTCTTGTCTCACGCAACTACCTTCTCACCATTCAACGAAGTTGATATTTTAACAATCTGCATTGAAACCTCGACAAAGCACTCGAAGCAGAAATACATATGTCCAAACACTGAAATTGCTAGCACAGAACCATAAATCAGCAAATATTTAAATCAGGGTTGCATAGACTATGGACTGTGTGCCACAGGCAGCTCTTCGTAAATGTATTACATTCTTGCAGCCCGATTTTCGGGTGTTGTGTCATGTTCACTCTACCACAATCGAAATACACACAGTTGTATTGTGCAGTTGTATTGTGCAACCGAGCATGTTCTCAAAAACTGTGTGGGGTTTTATGTCCCAGAACTATGAAATGATTATGAGGCATGCCGTTGTGAAGGGCTCCAGAAATTTCGACCATCTGGTGTTCCAACGCGTGCTCACAGAACATAGCACACGGACTTCTAAAATACTGCCTCAATCGAAATCCGACCGCCTTGGCCGGGACCGAACACTCAGCTTTTTTGGTCAGCTGATGAGCACTGTAACCATTATAGAACTGTGATGATGGTGATGATGATGATGAGTAGTTTTTAGTGGCGAAAGGGCCAATTGATGGCCAAAGAGCGCCATTTCAATTGACTACAGATATGAACAATGATATGGTGCGTGGCTGTAAAGGGGCCTTAAAATTGCTCGCTTTAACGCGGATTAAAACATGAAAGTAATAAAATCATGACAGTGGCATGGCATATGTGTAGTGATAGCGGATGGCAAAATGTCATGATAATAAAACCATGATGAAGATGTAGTCACCGCAGCTACAACCACTCTATAGGGGTCGTGCTACGGATGACCTTGAAATATCGGGTGAAAGCTTTGCACATCTTTTAAAAACGTAAAAAGTGTTTGCAGTTTAAAAAGCGGATCCCTACCGATGAGCATCCCAGGATGTAGAGGGAGCTGCTGTCGGTAGGGCAGTAAAAAGTGCTTTTTTCTTAGAGCATCGATCTAGCTCATTGCACTGGACGAGAATGTAGAGAACCGTCAGAGGCTCTCCACATCTCTCACAATATGGTGAATCACCGGTATACAGAAGAAATGAATGTGTAGAATGTGTATGTCCTGTTCTAAGCCTTGTTAGTATTACTTCTGTGTGTCGTGATTTTGATAGTGGCGGCCAATAACCTAGTTGCGGCTTAATAGCATGGAGTTTTTTATCTGTGTGTTTATCCCACATGCTCTGCCAATACCCCCTGAGCTTTCGTTTTATAAAAGGTTTTAAGTCAAGTGCAGGGACTGGTGTTGATGCATTGGCAGTAGTGACATTGGCGCAAGCAGCCAGATTGTCGGCCAAAACGTTCCCTTGTATTTCAAGGTGCCCTGGAACCCAGCAGACAACGGCATGCTGTTTTGATGTGTAGAGTGTGCACAAAAGTGAGTAGAGTGACACCAGCACGGGGTTCTTGTGTTTTTTAGGAGTTTTCAGGGCTTTGACCACACTTAGGGAATCTGTGTATATTACCGCCTTTTGTAATTTTATCTGTTTAATGTGTTTTACGACCGCCAGTATTGCGTAAGCTTCTCCTGTGAAAATGCTTGCATTAGGATGAAGAACTCCAGCCTCGGAAAAGGATTGGCCTACCGCTACATATGACACAGAAGTGTTTGACTTTGACGCATCGGTAAAGAACTCAGGG